GCTTGAGTAAAAAACCTGCACTTCTTATGAAACTGGTGTATAGTTCTAAACTTCTTCATTTCCGTAGCAAATACTGATACCCAGTCTACGTGATCTAAGCGTCTCTAGCAAACGGTGCACACACCTGTGCTTGCAAGACCAAATAGCCTAGGTCTACACACGTGCGAAGATCCTTTCAGACGAGCTCGGAACATTACGTTGCTTTGCCGAGAGGTTACGATTGCAGGTGTTTAACCATAATAACCATTCCGTTATTCATTAAAAGAGAGAAAAAAACACACACAGTTAATGATTAACATATCCATTCAAAAGAAATTATAAGGCAATGAACGAACAATAATAATGACAGTAATATAACTGGTGAAAGATTTATCATTATCAATCGAAGTATGACCTATATATTTTCGGGAAAAAGACTGAGGAGGCAGCGAGCGTAGGAATATGAAAACTTTTTATTTGCTTTTCCGGGGAAAAGATGATTTTCTTAAAATCTTTTTACGTTAATTTTGTTTTCTTTAACGTATTAAATATACATCATTATTCTTAACATTTGTTGTAATCTTGTATCTACTGATCATGAATGGAACTATTTTCGTCGGAGCAATTGTGTGAAGAGTACCTGACTTTAGTAATATATCTTGAATAGATAATATGCACTGATCGAATATATTAAAAATTACTTTCCAGGAAAAAAAAATTCTGATTATTATTGATACAGATAAGACGTCACATATTATTATTGTTATTAGGAAAAATAAAAGGGGATTATTTATTTCCTTGACCTGACACACAGGTCATCACCTCTCCCCCAGATTGTATACATTGGTGCTCTGGCAGTTAAATCTATGTGTTCTGACCAAAGGCACAGCACAATGTATAGATTAATGTGGATGAGCAATTTGTAGTGTGTCTCATGTCTGATTCAGGCCCCAGGCTATTGGTGTTTGGATTCTGACATCCGTGTGAGGGAGATGCACTCCTTTAATTGTTTCTTCTCATTTGTTCTATGAAGGTTTACACCTGGAATTAAGCAATCTTAACAGGTATGTGCCAGATTACTTCACAATTAAGAAGAAAATACTTATGTCAAATTTACTTTCAAATTTGTACCGAAATACACTTTAGATGATGTATGGCATCATATTAAAATACAGTCAAACCTCAAAACTCTATGGGACCAAGATTAAACTTTGAGATAATCCATCAATTTGAGATAAAGAGGCTTGAAAAACAAAGGAAAAGAGGTTTGGACTGCCAATGCACTTTGAAATATTCCTTTGAGATATCAGTGTTCGAGATGATGAAGTTCAACTCATTGTAACTACTGTAGTAGTAAAAATGAACTTTAAATGTGTCAGATTGCTTTAAGTCAGTAGAGGACCTCTATGATATTAGTGGAACTGGCCTTTTTTTCCTTTCCATGCAGTTATTTAGCTTTGCACATGGATATTGTTATGGATTAGCACGAGTCTCAATGTTTATTGTCATTTTCTGGGTGAAAACTTGAGGACTAAGGAGAAAAAGGGGTACTACTACAAGGACTACTGTATACAGGGTTAGTTTTACCCCAAGTTATTTTTGCCCTTTCACACTTGCAAACAATTTTGCCTAGTTTCAAATTTGCCCAGTCACAATTCTGTTTTAGAAATGATACTGTGTTTTTGAATTTTCCCAGTTTTAAATTTGCCCACCTGTGAGTATGGCGAAAGGGGCGAAAATAAAATGGGGACAAAAGTTTCCATGTATACATTAATAAGTTGGTAGAGCTCCAGCATATAATGTTAGTGCATGGTACTAATTGGTTTGTAATAAATCATAGTTCATTTAACATACTGTAAACATGTTACATTTGGCTGTGTATTCTTTTTTTTTTAGCACTTTTGGCAAAGGAACTTCTGCTAATTCAAGTACAACACTAAATGTCTTGCACACATATATATACACATAAATAAGAGCATTTAATAATAATTGTCTTAAATCAAATCTATGATGCTAACTTGTTCAAAAATCAATTTCCATTTTCCACCATATATAATATTACACGCCTAATATTACACATTTACAGTAGTTTTCCTCTAAGTTGAAGATGTACCACTTTAGGTTGCATTGTCAAGATAGAAGATTTTAGAGTTTATTACTGTATTATGGTTGCTTTGTAATCTGCAGAAAAATATATTTCATGTTATTTGAAATTCACTTCCAGCAGTTATTTGTGACTCAGTAGTATTTATACAAATTGTTGATTTATCATTGCTTCCAATTTGGATTAGCACCATCACTCCTCTCTGACCCATCCTGTTCACTTCTACTCATCCAAACTGGAGTTCAAATCAAAGGTCAAGTGATGATATTCAGGAAAAAACTCATCAACACCAAGTATGTCACATGACTCATTCCCATAATTATCTGCTATCAATAGTTTGTGGTTTATCAGTGTAACTAAAAACTCATTTATCCCTCTTCCTAATTGTTTACTCTCCCACATGACCTTAGTCTCCACAGCCAAACGAAACCACAGCTCAGCAGCCAATAATTATCTATGGGTCAGCATGATTATATAGGGACAACATTGAGAGCATGATGTTATTGCAGTGGTCATGTGATTTATGCATGTGATTGTTGTTGAATCAACGATCAAGATTTTAGTGTCATGTTCCGATAGATTGGAGAGATTACTATAAATAGTTTTTAAATAAATGCTTTTTTTTAATTGAGCTTTTTCAACCTTCTTAAAACTGATGAAACAATTAGTGTCTATTTTAATCTCTCTTACATGCCTCTCTTACATATGCTACATAGAAGTCCTTGGAAAAGAAGTATACAAGCTTGTTTTCCTTTTAAGGCTGTAAAATTTCCTTGCCAATAAGATTATTTTCTTACAAGTCTTGAGCATTTTTCCATAAACAAGTTATTATAGTAATGTCACATGAATACATACTGAAGAGAAGGAAAAATAATTCATTTAGTATCATTCATTTTTTAACTTATTTTTTTCCTTGACCGACAGAAATAAGATAATTGATAATGATATCAGACAAGTTGTTTGTTATCTTGAGGGATAACACATGTCTCTACACCTTCCCAACAGATAACTGTCACTCAGAGCTGCAGTGTAAATACATGTAAATATTATTTACACATCCAACAATATAAACAAATGGAAAAGCCTTAATTCAACAGGTAATTTTCTTCCCTTTTTTGTTTGGTAATTTTTTCAACATAAAGCATTTTATTTCTATTTTTTGTTGAAATCTAGCATTGAGTAATTGTTAGTTTGTTACTTCAATGATTTTCATGTGTTAATTCGTCCATTATTTGCATTGATAGAATTATATTTCCCTTTATCAGGATGTTGCATACATTTTTAAAATTTTGGACTAAAAGTATTTTTCTTTGTTTAGTTTTATACATAATTAATTGAAATAACCCCCACCCCTATCCCAGAAAGAACAATTATGGGATTATAGAGATAATGCACTAGAGGAATGTTGTAATGCAGTCTAAAGAGACTTTATTTATCAACATGTGAATCTTGTCTCCCAGTTATTTTGGCAGGTTTTACTTAGGATTGGCTAAAGAACAGAAGTTCTGAGCAATGTAATCCCTATTAATGACATATGCATGCTTGTTTTAGATTGATAACTTTTTTCCTCTGCTGAATTCAGTTAAATGTGGTTCATGACTCAGATTTCAGCATGTAATATCCTAAAATTTATAATCCCATGTTTTGTGCACAATTAAAGAGCTTTAGTTGATTTTGTTGAGATGAATATATTCCAAATTGTTGTACAGTGCTCGGAGATAAGAGTAACAATTAACTCTACCATCAAGCTTCATTTGCGGTTTCTCTCAGCTGTCATTTCTCAGCACAGTGAATTAAAACCTTAACAGTCAGTTTGGTAGTGTGTTTGCTGCAGTCTGAGATGTTATCCGTCATGTCATCAGTTGCTTGGTGCTGTATGAGGGAGAGATATATTCCATATTGTGTTTGGTTCCCCTGACATGCCCCCTTGTAAGTGATCTTCTGTTCTAGACAGACAGATGTTTGTGTCCTAGGATCTGTCAGGAATCGTATCTGGGAATCTCATCACCAAAAGGGAAAAGCAATTTTACTGCCATTAAATCATTATGAAGCACTGATTCTCTTCACATGAGAAAAATACATATGTTACAAAATTATCTTTATTGAAGAATGATCTGGAGATGACCTTGCCTTGACAATTAATCAAAAGTACATGTATTAAAGTCTTTTTCAAATTCCACAAATGACTAATTATACATATAGACAGAATATTTGATATTAATTGACTCGAGTCAGGCATAGCTATTGCGTTTGAACTAAGGAGAAAAGTGTTCTAATATCTAACAAATTTTTTCAAATTCATGATTGTTTAATTAAAGGGTGATCTAATATAAAAATGGCACCCTTTTTAATGGAAAATCTGTCAAGTATGTATGATCCTTTTTTCAGTGCATATTTTAGAAAAGACAAGGTTGGCTGTTTAAAGTCATTATAAACATAGATTAGCAAGCCCTTTAAGTTAAAAATACTGCTTCTATTCTAGGAGACAATGATTTCCTTTATGCATGGATATGATCAGGAGGACAAAGTTCACACATGCACATCTGGGAGGAAACTCTCCTTTTTTTCATCCAGTTACTCATGAAGGAATGTTGCTACATGAGAGAGTCATTTATAATGAAAACTTTTTTTGATGATGAACAGATGTGAAAAAGGAATCTTGGAACTAAGAGTGAGGATTTACAATCAGATAAACTCTCCACAGCATTCACCACACTTGACCTTCTGGGTCACTCACCCAGTTTTCAGTGACTATATACCAGAGGGTATTATTTTTGTAGGTGTAACCCCAGCATTCAGTGACCAATGGTTCTTGATTACATTGACCTGGGTCATTTATAATTTTGACAGGAAGGACATTGTTTTGTTGTTGTTGTTTTTGCTTTCCTACTAAAATTTTTAATGGGTTTATTTTCAGAATAAGAAAAAGTGTGTGTTGATCACTGCCTTCTGAGAAGGAGAGAAGGTGAAAAAGGATTAGGATTTATTTTACACACATCTTTAGGTATGTTCATGCATGAAATGTACATTCTTAACTCCTACATATAGTTGACAAATATAGAAACTTCAGTGTTGCTGCATTGAACAAATGGTCTAGACCAGACTTCGATCTATTCAACATTTCCATCCACTGCTGAAGGTGTTTCGCTTTTGGAAGCTTTTTCATTTTTCACAGAGTTACAGTGAATGAGTTTGCTAAGATTCTGTCAAACAAGTATGGCAACATACATGTATACGGGTTTAAGGCCAGATATTTTCAGTAAAGACTTGGTTCTTTTCCTCAGATCAATTTCTGCCATTTGTGGATTGGTATTCAGATATTTGTGAAGATATTGACTTTCAGAGATTGCTTCTGGACTAAATTCCATAAAATCAATCTCTAATATAATTACAAAGAAACACAGCATCAATGTAAAAAATACTCGTTCATTTTTAATGGCTCCCGAATTCTACGATCACAAAAGTGATTTAGCTGTAGTTTTAGCCACAAATAATTCTAAGTTATACATGTATATCTATGAATTTCTTTTATTAAGCATGCATTGAGTGATTGAGATACTGTAGTCTGGGATAATAACTCAAAGAGAGAATGGTATGTTTGAAAGAGTTACAATTTGAATACAATATACATGTGAATATGTACCATGAAATCAATGAAGGCATAATACAAAAAAAAAAAAAAAAAAAAAAAAAAAAGAATTTTTTAACTTAGTTTCCTTTGTTTATGATAAAAGTCTTGATTGAGAACACAATATAAGGTTTGAGAGGGATAAAAGATCATTGGTCCTTCTGAAAAATCTGGATCTGTTTGTGCTAAAGTAATTTATTTTTAGGCAAAGAAATTGACTTGAGAGAAATCTAGAATTATCTTCAGATCTCCTGTAATGTACATGCATATATCAAAGAAACATCAAAACTACATCATTTACATAATGATTACATGATATCTTATGACTGATGTAAAGTAAATATATTATGTAAATGATAAAGAACTGGGTTAAGTGAAATAAATGCATGTACTGTGATTAAAGTTTCTAGATCAGAGATGAAGACTTCAAAGAAATACACAGACCTTACATGCATTTAAGTATAGACATAATTGTAGTAAAATATTACTTATTTGTTGTATTAACTTGTACTTTGAAGAGATTTTTGATTTTTTTTTCCATTGACTCAATTATTAACTACTAAACTACTTAACTATTAAAAAGATGCTTGAGTTTCTGATAGACAATATCTATGTAGTTTTTGGAGATCAGGACTGAACTGTCTACGGATTTTTCCATTTTTTCCCCCGGTCATGACAAGGAGCACACAGTGAGTGTGACCAGTCGGCAGGGGATGCTCACTCCTCCATGGCACCTGATCCCACCTCTATTATATTTTGAGGTCCGTGTTTGCTCTGCTCCAGATTTGTATTGTTTCATTGGACTTTTGAGATTGAATACTTTTCGTTATCTTCTTATTTCATCTACATAAGTTTGCTGAATACATTTATCAAATCCCCCCCCCCCCCCCCCCAGTTACATTTAACATTTAAATTAAATATTCTTTTCATGTAGCCATTTTTAAAGCAAATCAAGATTGAATACTGTTCGTTATGTTCGTACAGTATACACTTATTTCATGACTACAAGGGGAACAGTCAAACTGTTGTCCCGAGGTAATGGGGAAGACCTGGGAAACTGTTGCCCGAGGCCGAAGGCCGAGGGCAACAGTTTCCCAGGTCTTCCCCATTATCGAGGGACAACAGTTTGACTGTTTCCCGAGTTGTCATGAAATAAGTGTTTTATTACCTAACCTACTATATAATTTCTTGAAGTAATGATATAAACACATCGACAAAAGTTTGTATTTTTTCTTAGTATTTTCATGCACTAATAAATTGATGTATACATGTATTGTTTAGTAAACAACATAGGTTTGAATATAACACGCTGAGTCGGACGTTTAAGGCAAAGATCTATAGTGAGTGAAAGGAGCCTACATTTTTCCAAAAATTACCCTCAGAAAAGGTGTTCTTGACCTCTTTTTTCAAATATATACATTTGTGGTATCTCTCTATTATATAAACATGCAGAGAGCAAATATCTTCATACCTGTATGAAGTTTTCCGAAGGTCATAGGTCATTACGTGACCTAATCACACAGCGCAGTAATATCTACATAAAAAGACTTACTCCACTAAGCAATATAGCATGTTTTTCATGCATAAAAATGTACAAAATACGCAAGTAAAATAATAATCATTTTATTTACAATGTAAACGAGTATTTAATACAGTTTTTGATCAGTTTTACATAGAGAATAGAAAACTACATGTTATAAGTTCCATGTCTGAGCTGCATAGTCTCAACGTTTACCCTTATTTTTCTCGCAGACCTCTGAATGCTATAATTTTTTTTCATTAAACTTTACTCACAATAAATTTGAAAATCTGTTGAAAAATATCAATGTAATGCAATCACGCCACAAACAGCTGACAAACACTGCACTTTGGAAGTTCGGTAGGCACACCTCCATCATCGAGATCGTTGTGACGTTGTCTTAACAATGTAAGCTGTCACCAGTGTCTCCACTTCAACATCATAAATTAATAAATATGCCTTACTGAAATCGTAGATTTTATGTTTTTGATCAAATTTTGTACTTGATTTCAAGTTATCTGGTCCGGACAAGTGTCTCCATCCATCCCTTTCCGACCGAAATTCCTCCAACTTTTTATTATCAAACATCGGACGTGTTTCTTGTGTTTTTTAACATCGAATATGGGTTCTCATGAATACAAAAATTCCCAGACACCAATATGCTCACTATAATTGATCACAAGTAGCCTTTCACAGAATATTCCCTTCAAAACAGAATCCTTTGCCTGATGAATTTGAAGCGTAACCGCTTTTCAAGCCGATTTACACCTAGCGTAATTTGTCAAAATCTACGACGTACAGTTAGTGCAATATTTATATTCGATTACATTCTATTGTCCGTCTCAAATGTATATATAAGTAATAAATAACAAGTTTAAAAACTTCAATGGGAATTGAAGTGGGTCGGTACGTGATCAAATCTTCTGAGAAGGCCTTCGGCCTTCACAGGATTTGATCACGTGACCGACCCACTTCAATTCCCATTGAAGTTTTTAAACTTGTTATTTATTTCTTAAATGATATTAAATTGAATATATATTTATATGGGTATCAGGATTACTCTTCAAATAATAGTTTTAAATTTATTGCCATGAAAATGCTTCAATTTATACATAATTCAATATTATAGCTGTAAAGTACGGGAAATTGATTATGACGTCATAATGGATCAGTTCAGCCATGCAACAGTTCATTCTGTGACCGGGTAAACAGTTTTGACTGTTTCATGATGTGCAAAAACATAAAAATGAATCAGGAAACAGTTCAAAATGCCTAATTACAATTTATATAGTAGGTTAGGTAATAATGAAAACTGTCTAATCCGACACCTGTGCAATCTGTCACACTGTGAACTCTGACGTTAAATTTTGTTCCCATTTTACTATTATCATTGTTTTTTTACACTGTGCAATCCGACACCCTGTCTATTCCAACACAAAATTCGTCTCCCATTGCATGTTGGATTAGACAGGTTTTACTGACGTATTTCATCTACATAAGTTTGCTGAATACATTTATTAAATCCCCCCTTCCCCCAGTTACATTTAACATTTAAATTGAATATTCCTTTTCATGTAGCCATTTTTAAAGCAAAAACAAAGCAGTGGAAATACAACATACTATAACTGCACTTTAAGGTATAAATATCATTTCCATCTATTGAGGATGTTTTAAGTGCAATCCACAAATTGCAATGATCTCCCTCAACGCAGATGTTTTGGCTCTACTTCTGTCAAGCAAATGTATTTTATCTGGCAGTTATATAATTTATTACATTTTCAACAGTAAAATACTGTAATTTTTTTTATTGAATAAATGTGATATTCTGTCACAGTGTGACAGATTATCAGAAGTGTGGTAAAATACTTGATTTTCCTTCCCTTCATGAAGAATGTTGTAAAAAATACTCCCTGCCCTGTTATAAGATAAAGTAAATAAAGTATCCTGACAGAGACTGAAACTGCCAAAGTTTCTCCAAATATGTGGTTGAAATCCAATGTTAACAATGTTTTCAATCTCACAATTGCTAAGCTATGATGTCTGGTCGCTTAACTATGATGTCACAGCCTATGACACTGTGTTACAAAAACACAGAGGCAAAGGGAAAATGAAAGAAAATGTAACAAACAGAAAATTCAATATTTTTGAAGTTTGATGTGGAATTTAGTTCACTCGTAAGACGGGATATTCTTACATTTTCACTCAATGACATGCTTCACACTCTTGAACGGGAATATAAAAAAAATCCTGTCCCATTCCTTAAATAAATTCCATATCCAACTACAAAACATTGAATTATCCTCTCTCTCTCTATATATATATATAGTGAAAAGCCTCATTCTAACTAGCATAGGCCATTGAATTCATTTACTCTGATCTGCATGCTGCAAGATGTATAGGGGTACTTGACAACTGCATGTTGTATATAGAAAATGGCCTATGATAAAATTATGAATTTTAGCTATGATCACAATATGATGAGGTGTATTGGTTCTTGTCTGATTCTAAGTGACTGACCACTGTACTTTGTAATGAGTAAAATACATACACATATCTGCATTCAATTAAGATATTGTTCTGGTACCCCTCAACATTAGGAAAGGGTAGAATTATCCCTATAAATTAGTCCCAAGCAATATAACACAGGATTCTATCCATATCCTAGTTACAAAGCATCAATTTGAAAGGACTATATTTGGTAATTGCCAATATCTGCCCCCCCCCCCCCCTTTCAAACTGCTGGGGAAATCTGAAAGTCTGTTCTAAGCCAGGAGGATTTATACAGGCTTCAAAGCGTTAAACATTTTCAATGGCTGTGACATCATAACTCAGATATGACATTCTTAAATGATGTTAATTCAACATTTCAATGATTTCGAAAGAAAATATTGTATTTTATGTCAATAAATTGAGCACAGGTCTGCTCAGACTCCATCTTTTGATATAATGTATAGAATGATAATATCAATATGATATGTGAAAATAAATCCTGAGCAGGTTTGTGCTCTATTAAAACTTAAGTCAAAATTGAAAGAAAAAAATGTGCATTTTTCTCTCTTTTTAAAAAAATAAAGGGGAAATCTCAATAGTCTGAGATGTCACAGAAACAAAAATGTCAATGTTTTTCTCTAGCAATAATGCATTTTGCAATTCAGACTGATTTCATAAAATATATACAATTTTGCACATGTCAACATTTGACTTTTAACCTTTACTGTACATAAAGTCCTTTTAGCATTTTCCTGGTGTATTTATAAAAACAGATGTAATTTATTTTCTTCATCTTCCTTGTAAAGAAACGTATTGTTACATTTTTAGCTCACCTTGACGAAGTCGAGATGAGCTTATGCTATACCCCTGGCGTCGGCGTCCCAGGTTAAAGTTTTAGGAGCAAGTCCCATTCCCAAGTAACTATAAGCCCTACTTGGACCAAACTTGCATGGATGATGCATCTAGGGATGGACACTACCACACTTGCTTCGGATGCTGGATCTGATGTAGATTTTCCAGATGAGTGACCAGGTTAAAGTTTTAGGAGCAGGTCCATTCCCAAGTAACTATAAGCCCTACCTGGACCAAACTTGCATGGATGATGCATCTAGGGATGGACACTACCACACTTGCTTCGGATGCTGGATCTGATGTAGATTTTCCAGATGAGTGACCAGGTTAAAGTTTTAGGAGCAGGTCCATTCCCAAGTAACTATAAGCCCTACCTTGACCAAACTTGCATGGATGATGCATCTAGGGATGGACACTACCACACTTGCTTCGGATGCTGGATCTGACCTAGATTTTCCGGATGAGTGACCAGGTTAAAGTTTTTGGAGCAGGTCCATTCCCAAGTAACTATAAGCCCTACCTTGACCAAACTTGCATGGATGATGCATCTAGGGATGGACATGGCCACACTTACTTCGGATGCTGGATCTGATGTAGATTTTCCAGATGTGTACCAGGTTAAAGTTTTAGGAGCAGGTCCATTCCAAAGTAACTATAAGCCCTACCTGGACCAAACTTGCATGGATGACGCATCTAGGGATGGACACTACCACACTTGCTTCGGATGCTGGATCTGACCTAGATTTTCCGGATGAGTGACCAGGTTAAAGTTTTAGGAGCAGGTCCATTCCAAAGTAAATATAAGCCCTACCCGGACCAAACTTGCATGGATGATGCATCCAGGGATGGACACTACCACACTTGCTTCGGATGCTGGATCTGACCTAGATTTTCCACATGTGAGACCAGGTTTAGATTTAGGAGTAGTCTCGTTCCCAAGTAACTATAAGCCCTACCTGGACCAAACTTTCATGGATGATGCATCTAAGGATGTACACTAACCAACCTGCTTCGAATGCTGGATCTGACCTAGATTTTCCACATGAGTGAATTTTAGCCATATTTTAACCAAATCAGCATGGATGATGTATCTAGGGATGGATACTTCCAGACTTGCCTTGGATTCTGAATCTGACGTACATTTTCCAGATGAGTGACCAGGGTAATTTTTTGGAGTAGCTATATAATATTATGGCCTGTTATGATTAAACTTGCATAGATGGTGCATCTAAGGATGAAAACTTCCAGACTTGCTTTGGATGTTGGAACTGACCAAAATTTTCTTGATTACTAAACAGGTCAAAAGTTTTTTGAGCAGATCTATAATTAAATCAAACTTGCATGGATATTGATCTTGGGATGTACCCTAACTAGAAAAAAAATATGATGTGAAATTTGCCTTACATGTAGATAACATTTGTCGAGGTGAGCTTCGTAATCTTTGATTACCTATGTTTATATTTCATACTAATACCTTCCTTTAGGTGAATGTTCCCTCAGCTTCTCTGTACCATGAGTTGGACAAACCTCTTTCTATTTCTTTATGCCCCCTTGCAACATGAACTTAATACATGACCCTCTGCATATGAGTTAACTTGAGAATGTTTTGTGTAGTTGACCCAAAGTATTAATGTTACTGGAGGAAAAAGGAATAAAATATAGAAGGGGAACATTTTGTGAGTTCCCTCAAGTACCGGTATATGAGTTGGATCGAGGGCCAAACCCTTTTTCTCCTGTTGTTTGAGAGGAAAAACTCTTTCCTTTAGATTAATTTAATTCTGTTTGTAACACTTCATTTGTTTATACCCTGTGTTGCCTACCTCACTATGACTTAAGTCAAAAACATATCATCTGCTTGATGTTACTGGTACATTATTAAAATTTGTACATTTGAAGGGAAATTGTCTTATTTTTTTATACTTCGCTTTTTTAGCTCACCTCAACAAAGTTGAGATGACTTTATGCTGTACCCCAGGCGTTGTTGTTAGCGTTGGCATCCCTGTTAAAGATATAGGAACAAGTCCATTTCTAAGTAACTATAAGCCCTATCTGAACCAAACTTGCATGAATGATGCATCTAGGAATTGACACTATCAGACTTGCTTCGGATGCTGAATCTGATCTACATTTTTTGGATGAGTGAATATGTTACAGTTTTTGGAGCAGGTCCATTCCCAAGTAACTATAATCCCTACCTATACCAAATTCATGGATGATGCATCAAGGAATGGACACTTCAGACTTGCTTCTTATGCTTGATCTGACCTACATGTTTTGGTTGAGTAAACAGTAAAAGTCTTTGGAGCAGTTACATTTCCAAGTAATTAATACATGTAGCTTAACCTATACCAAACGTGCATTTTTGATGCAGTAAGGGATGAACAATGCCTGACCTGCTTCGGATGCTGGATCTGACCTATATTTAAACTTGCATGGATGATGCATCCATATTTGGACACTACCAGACTTGCTTGGGATGTGACTGACCTACATTTTCCAGATGAGTGACCATGTTAAAGATTTTGGACCAAGTCCATTCCCAAGTAACTATAAGCCTACCTGGACCAACTTTGTTTGGATGATGTATTTAGGGATTCACTTTGCCAGACTTTTGTCAGATCCTTAATCTGATCTACATTTTCTAGATGAGTGACCAGAGTATCTGATCTCATGAAATGCCAGTGAGATTAATGTAATCTTCATCATTTAGAAAAGGGGGGTTATCAAAGTCAAATCTTATACACTCTTTCTTAATTAGCAATTCTCTACATTTTGTCAATTGTTGTAAAATGTCATTGTTGGACATAGAAAACGGTCTGTGTGTCAGTCTAAAAGAGTACTTTTGGAATTCTGATTTTTTATGGAGTTGCTCAGAGATGATAGGGCAGGACAGTGCATTGTCGCAAAATAAGATGTTGTGTTTTAAAAAGAACTTGGAGCAGCATTCTTGAGATATTCTGCATCATTGTTTCCTTTCATCCCACATATGGTACAGTACCATTTTGATTTTGTTCCAAAGTAGAATGCTGTAGCATTTATTATAATGTTGTCCTCCGAATTCTCTGATCTTGAATTTTTCTCTAGCTGACCCATATAATTCCGTGTATAACACCAAATATACATTCATTTTCACCCACCCGTCGCCCAACCAGTACAGAAAGATTCTCCCTTTAAGTTTCACTTTTCCCACCCTTCAAGAGCTTGCGTCATTGAGGGATACCTGTTGTTTTTTTTTTTTTTTTTTTTTTTTTTTTTTACAAACATTTTTTGGTTGAAAATTCTGTAGAAAATCAATGTTATTTCCCTTTACTTTAGTTACTTACCTTATTGATAGTCAATTATGACAGAAACTTAAATGAATTTATTTAAGGAATAACTGTCTAATTTTTTGGTTTCATGATGTGATCAATCAATTGGCTTGCGTGATAATTTGCATAAACGCGTAAAATTATCACGCAAGCCAATCGATTGATCATCGTCATGAAATAAAAAAAATCTGACAGTTATTCCTTATATTTACATGCTCTTGATTCCGCAAATTCATGTGCTACAAGCCCGCTTCTGTCTCTATTTGTCCCGTCCCGCACGTGATTTTTTAACCACGCCTATCGATGAATCAGTAGATTTATGTAAAAATAAAGTATTTTTACTATTTATAGTTTTATCGGGGACAAAGACATTGGAAATGTAAATATAAAAGTTTAAGTGGTAATTTTCTACAAAATATACAACCTGCTCCAAAAATGACGGGATCTTCAATTTACTGTAGAAATTCACGAATGTCAGCTGATCCCTACCACATTGTATTGCTTCACTCTTTGTATAATACATGTACTTGAATTTCAGCATTAAAACTCGTTGATTCTTATGGTTTAGATATCAATCTATGATGTAAGATGAAAAAATATGCTTAATTTGAATCTTCTTTTTTTCACATTTTACCAGGGCCCATAAGTGCACTTGTTCTTTCAAAAGGAAACAACATGCTAGTTTTCTCTGAGTGACATTCTGATTGCTTACTTTTGAAATAAAAGCAATATATAAATGAAGTATAATCATGTCTTTTAGCTGATTCAAGATGTATTTAAAACAAACAACATAACATATAAACTTAAAATGAAGTAATTAGCTTATGTGGTTGCTGCAGGACATGAAACTTTTTGGATATGATGAGATTTAAATTAAGCAGCTGGTATGTAAGTACCAGTAATGTTATTCAAAGTATAGTATGTTAATTGGTTACAATGTATCTTATGACAGCACTGATAATGTTCTTTTGTTTATAACTAATTAACTACAGTCTGTGACTTTGCTTCTAGCTTAATTAAATGTATAAAATTTAAAAGGATTGATTTGTAAATAAGTCTATTAATTCATCTGTGACTTCAACTGCTGAAAGAAATTTTCCAAATGATTAATAAATCTTTATCACTAGGGATTCTCAATTTGTTGATTGGTACAATTGTTCCATGTTATATTGGTTAAGAATCTTTGAGTCTGATTGTGTTAATGGAAGTTGATTAATTATTAAACAGGTTACTGCAGAGTTTCTAACAGCACACACAACATGAGGTTGTCTGCTTTGCAAAGCCTCAGTCATATTGACTTCTACTTCTGGTGACCTCACTAAGGCAATCCCAAAGGTTACCATAGTAGCCCGAATGTGTGGTGACCTTAGAAAGCTAATCTGCATAGAAGATAGTCTGGCTATTTGCCAGTGAAACAGATAGAAATGATATTGATATGTTCAATGAATCTTAAAGTTGGGTTCATTATTTTGCTTAGATTGCTGATTTTTTAAAAATATAATTATTTATTTGTTTGTTTTTGGTTTGTTTGCATTGTTCCATTTTTGTTTTATTATTTGTTTGTTTTTTATTTGTTTTTTTAGTGTTTTTGTTTTTTCAATGAAATGATAAAAATAATATGGATAAATATTTAGCATCATGTCTGGGTGCAAAGTACAATTTTTTGCTCACTTAGAGGTGAGATGAGGTTATTCTATACTCTTGGCATCCATATTGGCATCCTGGTTAAAGTTTTAGGAAAAAGTCTATAACCAAGACACTGTAAACCCTACCTAGACCAAATTTGCATGGATGCATCTACTAGGATGTTCACTATCACACTTGATTCTAATTACATGTATGCTGCATCTACCCTACATTTGGAGCAGGCCCATTCCCAAGTAATTACATATGTATAATTAAACACCTCCTTGGTCCAAACTTGCATGATGACTGATGCATCTAAGGATGCACACTAAATATGGATGCTGATCTGATATTTTCTACTTTCCAGATGAGTGACCAGGTCGTGTTTTGAGAAGGTCCTTTTCCAAGTAACTCTAGAGAGAACAAACTTGTGTGCATTATGCATCTAGAAATGCACACTACCAGACTTGCTTGAGATGCTGCATCTGATCTACATTTTCCAAATAATTGAACAGCTTTAATTTTTTCTACATGTCCGTCTTAATCTAACTATAAAGAGCTCTTGGCTAGACTTGCATGGAAGAAGCATCTAGGGATGCACATTACAAGATCTGCTTTGGATGCTGCATTGGACCTAGATTTATTGAATGATTGAACAGGTTAAAGATTTGGAGCAGGTCCATTGCCTACTCCAGCTTGCTAGAGATTCATGACAAGAAAATTATGACTTGGCACTACATACATAATAATTTTAAGGAGTGTATGGACTACCTGTAAGAGTAGTGCATTCTTAAGTTACTATAAATTCTTCCCAGACCAAACTTGCATGGAAAAATTAAGCATCTAGGTATGCAGTAGTGCATTCTTAAGTTACTATAAATTCTTCCCAGACCAAACTTGCATGGAAAAATTAAGCATCTAGGTATGCACTTTATCAGAACATTCAGGTGGTGTGAGACTTTGCCTTACTTATAGATTAGATGCATTGAAGTGAACTTTGATTACCTATGTTTAGACCTATTTAACATATGTAATTGCAATAATTTACTGTTGAATTTAAATGTACATGAAAATATAAGATTGCATTCATGTTGTAACATGATATCAAAAATAATATCTTTCGAATGCTGATATTGATTTTGACGTGAATAAAACATAAAATAAATTACATCAAAAGTACACTTCTTTTTCCTCCATGTAATATAGTGTGAAATTCAAGATAAGGTGTATGCAGTTCCCTTGGAAACCAAAGATGCTTATATTGTGAGGAAAATCATGGAACAATTCAAATAGTTAAAAATCTCTGCTAAGGTTTACCTACTAGATTTTTATAATTGATTACAAACAGACCAAGGGAATCAGTTTATAGGTGTATAGTGCTCTCAAACAAACATATGTGTGCTGTCTGGTGTCAAGTGCCTTAATCAGGTAAAGATGTTGCATTTAGCCCTGTAACAACATGGAGGGATATCTTTGTAATGCTGCAGAGCACATTACGAGGGAGATTCTCTCAGACTTGTTAAATGTTGTCTATAAACTTCAGACATGCAGCTCAAGCGAAGTTATTTATCATCAAAAAACATGCATCTTGTACACATTCAATTTTTTAGGCAGAAGAAATAGCTTCTTAAATTTAAAGCTGTTTTTTTTTTTATCATAAGCATTACGTAATCAGAAAATTCTTTCACACTGTGCTCACTCCAGTGAAAGTGAAGTCAATATGCAATAGTACATTGCTGTGATTGCCAGAAACACATTGCTATGATTCTCTGTATGGTTGACTTGCACCCTCATTTTTAAACAACCTCCCAGATTTATGGGATATTATTAGGTATATTTATCCAGATTTTAAACATGTGACCCACTTCCTCTGCATTGTTTGCATAGTTCAACATCTGGAGGCTAATTCACTTCATGTAAAACTGACTGAATTGGAAAAGTGATGTTTACCGGATGAATTATTTTTTTTCCCCTTGGATTTTGTATCACTTTGAGTAATTCAATTCTATTTCAATAGCAGTGACAATAACTGAAATTGGTAAGTTCATGCACAGATTTTATATAAATAAACTTTCTGCAGAGGTGAATGTGATCTTTAAAAATTTATTGTAGATAGTGAATACTGCATAAAGAACAACCATGGGAAATTCCTCAGGAAAAAACAAGAAAAAATCTAAGTCAGGAGAAGACCAAGCAAACAATGATCAAACGGAACAAAAGGAAGAAGCAGTCAATGGCACTGGAGAAGACAAGGCTGCAGAGGAGGGAGCCAATGGAAAAGAAGAAGACAAAGCAGGGGATGGTGAAGAGGGAGGAGAAAAGAAGGAAGAAGATTCAAAGGTACCCAACCACACCAAACAGAATGAAGACCCAGTAAAAATATAAATGCTCTATTAAAAAGGAAACTTTAAAATAGACTGGATAACTTTTTTTTAATGTTTTCATTTCATACTTTCTACTTTATTTCAACTTTACTTTTCTATATATAAAGGGTTTTTAATGGGAATCTTTCAGTTTGCATGTCAGTGGATGCTTGTGGCTAATAATTAGTAGTCGTCATTATTTATATGTTTATCAATACATGTATATGTTAATTTGCATTGAGTGTTACATGTATACAAGGACCTTATGCTTTTGTATATTTCCATGGTGCTGGTTCTATTTCTACTAATGATAATCTCTTTATAATCTTCAAATAACTTTGAAATATATTATTTTTTCACAAACTTTACAATTCTTTGAAAAGATCTAATATTAAATTGTCCTTTATTTTCACAATAACAAGCAAATATCTTCTTCTTTTCTTTTGCTTAACATGAAGCTTTATTAAGTTTTCTACATAACAGAACACTTAAGTAACTTTGCAATTTCAAAAATCAAAGCAAGAAAATCTTTCATGGTCGACATTGAGCATGAATGCAGAATTATCTTAGAATCTGGATACATTCAACTTAGGCTATTTCATTTCAAATCGATATACACCTGCAGCTATCTCATGGAACATACCCAAAGTTGTATCTCAATTTATGAAATAAAATCCTGAGCAATAACCTGTAAGCAACCAAAATTCAAAACATTGGAATTTACTCATAGTTACAAACTGGAGCACATTCCTTACAAGATTCATTTTACATACTTATAGAAATCAGGAGGACTTGTGCCACTGGGCGCTGATTACCAGTCACCATGGAAATATGTGGCAATGAATGTCCTTGGTGTTTTGTGGTATTTGGTGTGTATGTTTGTCAACCCATTGTCTGTATATTTCTGTCAGGGAAGTGAAAAGAAAAAAGAAGAAAATGCAAGTGAGAAATCACCAGAAAAAACAAACACTGATAAAACTGAGGAAAAGAGTAGTGAGCCAAACTCAGAGAAAACTACAAATGAGGCTAAAGAATCAAAAGACCCGGAGACATCACAGTCTCCTAATGAACAAATATCTGAAAATGTGTCTGGCTCAGTAGATAATCAAACCAAGGCAGCTGAACAGTGTGCTCAAAGTGACAATGCTGCAGAACCAAGTCCACCTCTTGCTCAACCAGAAGATGAAGAATTAGGTACAGAACCAGAACCACCTGAGGAGGAAAAAGTTGATGAAAAAGCTGAAGAGCAGCCTTTAGAATCCAGAGACTCACAACCAAAAGAGCCAGAAAAACAACCAGAAGAGGAAAATTCTACCAAGGATGAAAAACCTTCAGAAGATGAGAAACCTAAGGAATTGATTGAAGAAAAGTCTCAGGAGACTAAGGAACACTCAGAAGATATTGTTTCAGAAGAACCCACATCTGTTCAAGATGATCCTGCAGACCAGGTGGAAGAGCAACCAGTTACAGGTGCTGAAAAACAATGTGAAGAATCAGTTAAAGAGGAAGTCCAAGAGAAAACTGAAGAACCTTGTAAAGAGGAACCTTCAGAGGCAGCTGAGGAGCCAAGTAAAGAGGAAGCTGTATGTACAGAAGACAGAGTACCAGAGACTGCTCAACAGCAACAGACAGAATCAGACATGGTGAAGACTGAGGAGGAAAAACAACCTCAAGAGGAACCAAAGGAAACAGAGGAGGAACCAAATTCAGAGGAAGTTCAACAACAAGACAAAAATGAACAAAATCCTGAGGAGGAGGACTCAGCAGAGGATCCAAAATTGGAAGAGGACAACCAAAAACAGGAAGAAGTTGTTGAGGATGAAACTCCCAAGGTAAGTCAAGGATGGATAAGTAAACCTACATAGAAGCACAGAACAAATGATTTAAGTGATCCAAAGAGCTAGACCTGAACCTGACCCTGACTTGGGTGTGACCTAACAAAAACCATCCAAAGACAACTTATGATGCCAGAACTGGTGGTGCTGATGCCAAGATGACAGACTCAGAGCCTATGGTTCCATTAATTACTGGAGCTGATTTTGTAATATATCTATAAAGCAGAGCCAGAATTTTGCCCAGTCCAAATGAGCTAATTTTGGAGACATTTTTTGGAGCGTGTGGAAATAAAACAGCAAATTTTAATAAATAAATTATAATAAGTTAATTTTTGAATATTTTGGTAATACTGTAAATATATAAATGTTGATTAGTTTTTAATTTCTTATTTCTCTATCAGTTTAATTGTTCTATGTTGTATATATGCATAAATTGATGTGGAGGTGATGGTGTCAAATTGCACGGGGAAATATTACAATGTAGTTTTAGCAGTGGATTTCATTGAAATTTTTATATCTAAACAATTCCTTGAATCTTTCAAGCTTCTACTTGTATTTTTATCACACATTCTTTGGCAATGAAATATATTTCTCGCTTCCTCTTATCTCTATTCATATATTTGATACTAAAATGATTAATTTCTCTCTCCAGTTTCTACTTTTAAATGTCTGCAAATTGTGATATCAAAAAATAGTTTGTGAATTTCAGTGTTAAATTAAATCATTAAAAACAGTATTTCTGCAGAATAAATCTACAGTATCTATTGCTTAAAGTACATATTACTTATTTATTAGATAAATTATGGTTCCACTTAAAATAAGTAACTGACAAAAAAAAAACCATTTTAGACATTATTTTTAAAATCAAGAAAGACTTCAGTCTGGCCCTTTCCACTTCAACTTTATCAGTTTATCAAAACTTTGTAAATGTAAGATTCTAATTGCAAGTTACAAAGATGGTTTCTTCTATCATCTTGAAATAGGAACAGGAGCCTGAATCCAAAGATAAATCAAGTGAAGAAACACCTAAACCAGATGAAACACCCAAACCTGATGAATCTCCCAAACCAGATGAGACACCCAAACCTGATGAACCAAAACCAGCTCCTCAGGAGGAAGTAAAGCAGGAACCCACTGCCGAGGAATCAAAAGAGGCGGAGCCGGCTCCCAAGGAGGTTTGTGTAAGTGCTGGTCTCTTGTTCTGGTTTCATTTTAAACTCCAGTAAGCATTTCTGATCGAAGAGTGTACAGCATCCGGTGTACGTGTCATGATCATCCATAAACTTCTTCAGAACTACTAGGCCATTGTCAACAAGTAAATTAATAAAGATAAGAAAGAAAGTGAAATATATTTATAGGGTAATTTAAAAATACAACTAGGCCAGAAAAGACAAAACTTACATAAAAGTATTACATAGGGCCACAATGGGGAGGGTGCAAATTTTACATGGGAGTATACCAAATATCAAGAGGAGCAGGGCCACCATGAATCATATTACCCATAATATGCAAGCATCCTTATGTAGTGTGCATTCACTTCGTTCAAATAAATCAGGGCCTTTGGGACTTGAGAGAGCTTATAGTAGGAGATTCAATGTTTTAACACAGAAACATCAAATTCTGTTAGTACAAGACTAAAAATGTAAACTAACCTTAAGCCTCAGTATACTTTAAATGAAATTTTATGAAATGATAAATTTTTATGTTGATGCTACAATAAGGAGGTTTAGTTATTTACATATTTAATTGTTACTCAGGTGAGCAGTGTTACAATGGGCCTCTCTTTATTATTTACTTGGAGCATCTGCTCATGTAGTTGATGTAAGACAGGAATTAATATACTGTTTACATGTACAATGATAAAATGCAGTTGTGAGTTTAGTTGCACATCCACTTGAAAATGATTTTTGTTCATAGGAACCACCTCCAACTGAACAAGAACCTCCTGCAGCTGAACCAGAAACACCTGCAGTTGAACCAGAAACACCTACAGCTGAACCAGAAACACCTGCAGCTGAACCAGAAAAACCTGCAGCTGAATCAGAATCAACAGAACCTCCTGTAACTGAACCAGAACAGGCTGAACAGAATGCTGTGGAAAATGACGAGGTGTGGAACCCCCTTAAAATATAATGAACCTGTTAAGGAAAATATGTTACAATGACATTTTGTTGGTCATTCAAATGTTATCTGTTAATATGAGAAATAAAGCCATTGACAAAACAGGACTAAAATAGTTTCCAATATTAAATTCCTGATTGGAGCGAGAATTCAGAGATACTCTAAACAAGTTATTTTTGAACTGTAAACATACTTTTAATATTATTTATTTGCTTACCTTAGCAGCTTTTAACTTAAGATTAACAACTAGAACCAAGAGTATTTCAGGACTGAAAGGAAAAATTGTAAACTAAATGAAGAGAGTATTGTGTTCTCATTTAATTGACTAATTTATATGAGTTTTTAGTGCTGTAAAATTCCAGTGGATGATATTCTTTTTTCAGAGTGAGAAATTTGCCACAGAATTTAGATGGGAAGAGGATGGGGAGACAGTCAAAGTATCAGGTTCTTTTAATGACTGGAAGGAGCAAGTGCCTTTGGAGAAAAAGTAAATAAAAAAATCTTTATATAGGGCTTGGTATCGGCTGGGAATTTCATATTGGATATATATTGCGATATTTTTAAATGTATTGCAATATGTATTGCAGTATTATCAATAACAGTTAAAATGCTCTTTTCTGATTTTATTAACCTTCATTTATAAGCAGAGTGTATATATAACTATTATAAATATGTTGTAGCAAAAAAAATGCTTGTTGATTTCACTCCAATTTACAATGGAATGTAACCATTCAACAGCAACCTTACTGTTTGACATGATTGAAAACGTTTCATATTTTACTTTAGAAATCCCAAGCCCAAGCATTTTACCGGTATATTGGTACTGGAAAAACGTATCACAATACGATATTTTTTGTTAACGAATTGCAATATACCGGAATGTTGATATATTGCTATCTTTATAGCATGTCCTGTGTTTAAAGAAAGATAACTCTTGCATTGAATAATATAATTTTTTCTTTTATCCAGTGGTGATAATGTGTTTCTGACCAAAATTGATCTACCCAAGGGAGAGTACCTTTTCAAATTTATTGTGGATGAGAAATGGGTTGTCAGCTCAAAACTGGTAAATATACTAAGGCATATGATATGATATCTCACGTATTAGTCAGAACTTAAACAATTGATGTAATTGACAAACTAAGACTGCTAAATATTTTTTTTAAAAAAACATACTTGTTCATGGTTTGAACTGTCTATATAAGGTATTTTAAAGTCAGCACAAAACCAAAAAATAACAAACAAAAATATTCACATTGCCATTTTAAAAAAAAAAAAAATTTTTGTTTTTTTTGCCCTCTCCTAACCGACTGGCTAAAAATAGCCTGACTGAAAACTTTTTAAACCTCCAGGAAACAATTTATTTTTTTTTCATTTCTGAATTTACTCTGAAAAAAAGTGTTACTACATACCCACCGACCCAATTTTTTATCCTCAGTCAGGAGAGGGCAAGCAAACATTACATTAGAGATGGCTAATTTCACGAATCATTGATATACTGCATGAATACTAGCTACTACTAGCTAGAAATTGATCAGTCTTTTAATATTTTGTGTGAATAATACTTCTACTAAAGAATTATTGAATCTTTATACTTTCAGCCAACCAAAGCTGGAGATGATGGATTGGAAAACAATATTATCACAGTGTCTGGCTAGCATGCTAGCCATCTCCCCTTCCTAAAAAAAACATGCACCATAATGTTCGGACTTGTTCTCTGTGACATTCCAAGCATACAGACAGATTTTGATCAGCGGATTTATTCTCTCTTGATTCTGACAAATTTTGATCATGACTCCCAAAGGAAATCAACTTGTTTTTGTTTTGTTTGTTTGGGGTTTTTTTTTTGATTATTTTTTTATTATTATTTTTTTTTTTTTTTTTTGGGTCAAACATTATCATGAAGGTTTCTGAGTTGAATTTTGCAAATGCAAGCTGAACGAGTGTTTTTTTTTTTTTTTTTGACAGATTACTGAATGTAATAGCAATGCATCTGTATATTTTAGATGCTTAACTCATGCCTCATACTTTGATCCATGCTTGTGTTAATTTTATGCTTTAAAAGTATGAATGTGTGTGTGTTTTTGATAATGTTAGCATAATCAAATATTTACAAATATTTATTCTCTTAAAAAATTCTTAGTAGTGAGACTTAATGAAATCTTTTATGCATCTGCATATAATTTAATTGAAGCTGGATATTCTGTTAATTCTGCTTATTGCAGAATGGTATCATTCCTCAGACTGTTTTTATCTGTTTAATTTTATTCCTCCTTTAAGTATTACTGCATTAAAAAAATTCATTAACTCTCCATAATCTTTTGACAACCTTTAACCCACCCACCCCACCCCACAAAAAAAAAAACCCAGACGTCTGAAGAAGTAGATCACATTTGTGTGTCCACTATTTTGAATAGTTACAGAGATTAATATTTTTGAGTATAGTGCAGGTCTGTCTGAATTTAAAGAGGAAAAACCAGGTCAACTGAATTGCACCTCAGTAATTTCAGACCTTATTTCTTTCAATCAGATAGCTTAGATGTTGTGTTAGAAGTAGGGAGGTACTTTAATCAAAGTGTTCTGGACCCTTTATGTGTGACTGAACTGGTATAAATTCAATGAGGAAGGTCAAACTTTATATATATATATATATATATATATATATATATATATATATATATATATATATATATATATATATATATATATATATATATATATATATATATATATATATATATATATATATATATATACAGGCTGGGTCAATTTGATTAAAGTATTTATCCAATCTTTGTAAAGAATTCTCCTCAGAATGAGTCCGAAGTTCAAATGAAAAAAGCATATAGCTTTTTTGCTCTAGGAGCAGGTCCTTTTTTGTAAACTAAGCTCATCAGATATGCTAATTATGAATGTCAAGGTGCTTTAAGGTCATTTCAATTTCCTCATTACACTAAAGCTAGGATGATACACTTCCCTGATGTATTGTTTTAAATTTTTTTTTTTCATCACATGGAGACATCTGTCCAAATATGTATGCATTTGTATCAAATGACTCTCAGTAATGTCTGCATAATTTTGGATGCTTTGGCGAACAGTGTCAAGGGGAGATAATTTATGTATTAACAATGCTCTATGTGGATGTCAGATCAGTATTTTTGTATTAAGTGTAGTATTTGTGTCACTCTTAATGTTATGTATTTTTAATTTTGGAAATATTCTTTTAATTTAAAGTCTGAAATGATGATAAAAAAATTCCAGTAGAACCAGAATTATTTGAGAAAAATGATAAGCATTTCAAAAATGTATACCTTAAAGTACATTTGAAATGTCCCACATGAAAAAAAATTAGTCAGCAATTCTCAATTTGAAACACACACACACACACACACACACACACCCCCTCACATACCCTAGCACAAATATTGTATAGTGGGCTAAGATCAGTTCTGCTATTTTCATAATGTTTATCTTTGTGAAAATTATTGTCATGTATTGATCAGTATCTAATTAATGTTTGTTAATTGTAACCTGTTTAATATCTAGTCATTTTTATTAATCATGAGTGACCAATCACTTAAAACAATCCCAGGATACAAAGTGGTCAAAAGTGCTTGTAGTATAATGTAGTGTAATGTATGTCATTGAAATAAAGAATGTATCTGAGACAATTCATACTCTGCTCTTTTTCAATTATTGTATGCCCTCTTTCTGTGTGTATGTATTAGTGAATTCCCCCTCCCCCCTTTTCCTCCCAAAAAATCACCCAAAGATTGTGATATGAATTAACACAGGTTTTTGAAGGAAAGTGAACTAAAATATGATTCACTGGCATGGAGGGAAGACATGAAGATAACATTTTCTGAGAAGTAAATACATGCCCTCATCAATGCTGTGCAGGTGACACAATCCTATCTGTTTTTGTCTGTTGTGCATTATTCATAAAATTTTGAGTTTCTCTGATTTTAACCAATTTGTATGTTTAGCATCTTTGGACAAAGGGAAACAAAAAAAAAGCATTGAGCACTCTATCTAAATGTTAAAATTCATGGTCCCAGGTTCAGGCCTAAGGATGTGAATAAGTTGGTCATGTATTGAAAATACATAACATCTTTGAAAATCTTCTTTATTCATGGACACTTACCAGACTTACTGTTTGCATGATTATATTAAGCAGCTAGCCTTCTAGTAAAATTTAAAAGAAAATCATGGCCAGAGCTCAGGCCCCAGGGTGGGGTTAAGTTATTCATATATATTGAAAATACATTATATTTGTATATCTTTAAATATCTTCTTTACTCATGGATACTAAACAGGCTCTGTTGCTTGTGCGCTTTTTGTCACATCAGTCAAAATTTTCATTTCCAGGTAGGACCGAATTGCTCATGACTGAGAAACCAGTTATACTCAGGTGATCACCAAGGCCCATGGGCCTCTTCATTCCTTGCAAGTTCCCAGAAATAGATCAATTTCCTAAGCTTTTTGTCCCCTGTTGTGGCCCCTCCCTACCCTCGGGGGTCATCATTTGAACTAAATTGAATCTACACTACCTGAGGGTGCTTCCATATCAATACACATGTATGACTAATCATGGCTTTTCTGTTCTTGAGAAGATTTTTTTCCCATATATTCCTATGAAAAACTTTGATCCCCCATCGTGGCCCCAACCTACCCCAGGGGGGTCGTCATTTGAACAAATTTGAATCTACACTACCTGAGGATGGTTCCATATCAATATGGCTTTTCTGTTCTTGAGAAGAAGATTTTTCCTATATATTCCTATGTAAAATGTTGATCCCCCATTGTGGCCCCACCCTACCCCAGGGGGTCATGATTTGAACAAACTTGAATCTACACTATCTGAGGATGCTTCCATATCAATATGACTGAACATGGCTTTTCTGTTCTTGAGAAGATTTCTCAAGTTCTTTTTCCTATAAATTCCTATGTAAAACTTTGATCCCCCATTGTGACCCCAGCCTACCCTGGGGGTCATCATTTGAACAAACTTGAATCTACACTATCTGAGGATGCTTCAATATCAATATGACTAACCATGGCTTTTCTGTTCTTGAGAAGATTTTGTCCTATATATTCCTATGTAAAACTTTGATCCCCCATTGTGACCCCACCCTACTCCTAAGGGTCATGATTTGAACCAACTTGAATCTACACTACCCGAGGATGCTTCCAAATAAATATGACTAAACATGGCTTTGCTGTTCTTGAGAAGAACAAACTTGTTAAACTTTGATTCCCCATTTGGCTCCAGCCTAGCCCCGGGGGTCATCATTTGAACAAACTTGAAGCTACACAATGTAAAGAAGGTTTTCTATAAGTTTCATTTTTTGGCCCAGTGGTTCTTGAGAAGATTTTTAAAACATGCCACCAAATTTTCACTATTTCTTATTTATCTCCCCTTGAATGAGGACGTGGACCATCATTTGAACAAACTTGAATCCCCTTTACCCAAGGATGCACTGTGGCAAGTTTGGTTGAAATTGGCCAAGTGGTTCTGAAGAAGAAGTCGAAAATGAAAAGTTTACAGATGGACTACAGACAAAATGTGATCAAAAAAGCTCACTTGAGCTTTCAGCTCAGGTGAGCTAAAATGTACACACGAATTAAAAAAGAAGCTGAATTACTAAGAAAAAATAAGCAAAACTATGGATGAAAAAAGCAAAATTATAAGAAGTAGCGGTTTGGAAATAATAAAACAAATGTTACAAATATACATTTCTGACATTGTTTATACAAAATTTTTGCTCATGTTCTAGCTAATCGTTTGCAAAAAGTTGCTAGTAGAATAATTAGTAGTGAACAAAGTGCTTATATTAAAGGTAGATACATCAGGGAGAACGCGAGAATAATATTAGACATATTTGAATATTGTAACAATAATGATATTGATGGTATTTTGCTCTTTCTCGATTTTGAAAAAGCTTTCGATTCTGTCGAATATAACTTCATGTACAAAACTCTAGAAAAATTTAATTTTGGTGAAAATTTTATCAAAATGATAAAAACTTTATATTCTAAACCAACTTTTAAAGTTAAAAATAATGACTGGATGTCAAAATCAGGTGAAATGCAAAGAGGGATTAGACAAGGCTGTCCTGTGTCAGACTTTTATTTATTTTCGTGCTAGAAATACTAGCAGTTCAGCTTAAAAATAATGAAGAAATCATCGGTTTATCGCCAGGTGATAATGGAAATTTAAAAATCGTACAACATGCCGATGATTGCACTAATTTATTGAAAGACACTTATTCATTGAAAAAAGTTTTAGAAAGAATATGTGAATTTAGCAAAGTCGCAGAATGTTTATTGACAGGAAAATTTATTGAAATGTATTTAAATGAAAAATATATTTGTGGTGTTAAAATTGCTAAAAGTCATGTGAAATCATTAGGTGTATATCTCGGTCATGATAAGGATATCTGTTATGATATGAATTGGACAAATAAATTAGAGAAACTTGAAGGAATACTGAGTGTTTGGAGAAGGCGAAACTTAACGATCTTCGGAAAATGCACCATAATAAATACACTAGCATTATCTAAATTGGTATATAATGCTTTTATTTTGTCAAATCCAAAAAATGAATTCTTTAAAAATGTATCAAAACTTGTATTTAATTTCTTATGGAAGAAGAAAGATAGGATAAAGAGAAATACGCTAATTGGTAAAGTTGACCAAGGTGGAATAGGTATTGTTGATACAGAGAGTAAATTTACTGCAGCGAAGGCTTCTTGGATAAAACGAATACTAGCTAAAAGAAGTATAATATATAAAATGTTTAATAATATTCTTAATCTTAAAAACCTATCAGTTAATGATATTGTTAAAACAAGTGTATGTAACTTTGAAAATACTGTTTTTTTTTTAAGATGCTAAGAATACCACTTTTTTATGGTGAAGTCTTTTCTGCTTTCAATAAATGTTAAACAAATTTGTGCTTTAAAGAGAGACCAATTTTTATCGGAATTCATTTGGAACAATAATCTGTTTCAGTATGATTCTAAACCTCTTTGTTTTGAAAACTGGATAAAAAGTGATATTCTGTATATCAGAGATATTTTTGATAATGATGGAAACTTCCTTAGTATTGAACACTTTTATAATATACTGGAAAAGAAAAACAATATACTCTGTGAATATATCATGATAAAGAAGGCACTCAGAGAATACAAAAACAATTTTGATTGTACATATGCAAAATTTGTTAATATTAAAAACGAAGTGTCAATTTTATTCAGAGATAATAGTGTAAGAACTGTAGCAAACCTTAAATGTGATTTTTATTATTCAATTTTGGTAAACATAAAGTTTCAACGATCAGTTTATGAAAATATGTGGCAAAAGACTCTTGATCTTAGTTACAAATATGTCTGGAAAAATGTATATCTAGCTAAAATTAAGTATATGTATGAAAAAAATGTTGCTGAATTCAATTATAAATTATTGAATTGCATATTGAACAATAATTTAAATGTAAGTAAATGGAACCAAGATGTAGAACCTTTTTGTGAATATTGTATGATTGTTGACGACACTGAACATCTCCTGTACAAGTGTAAACTTTGTGAAAATATTTGGAAAAAAATTA